TATGAAGAAAATAAGAGAAGCGAAAATGGGATATTGCTGAAATAAAAAAACAAATACAATTACAAGAATATATTTGTTTTTAATGGATATGAAATGATTTTTTAACAAGCAATCTTAAATCAATTAATAACTTCAAACCTGAAGCAAAAAAAAATATATGAAAACTTTGCATATTGAATATGTTTTTTTTATATCCAAATTTCAAAAAATAGTTTTGGAACCATTGTTATTACCTTTGGTATAAAATTAAGTACACATATTTTTTCAATACTTTTATTGATTTCTTTTTATAATGGTTTCTTCAAGATAGAAGATGTGATTATTATTATAATCATAATTATAATTATGACAACATCTTGATATTAAATCTTCAGAGCTGTTATTGTTATTAGGTAAACAATCTTCTTGTATATGTATTTGTTTTTTATTTCAGCAATATCCCATTTTCGCTTCTCTTATTTTCTTCATAATTAGGATACAGTATATAATTGTAATTAGGATGATAATTATAATTATGATGACATTTCAGTATTCAAATTATTGAAACTGTATTCTCTTATCTTAATAAATATATATATAAGTATATTGTATATCTTTTAGGCATACATTATTGATTATAAGATTAACTTTTTCTTTTTTATGGTTGTGATCATAATTGTAATAACATTTTCAATTGTTATGATTAGTATCTTGTTATTATGGTTTGGTAATTGAACTTGCTTTTCTTTTGATTCCCACAGCTCTTTTGACCTCAATATTCTTTTATTGCTTTTGAATATTTCCTTATTCTTTTCTTGCAGTATTCTAATATCCTTGTCATCAGGACTGCTGGAATCCTATTAGTAAGTAAATTCCAATTCTTTTTCTTTAATATTGTTACTAAAAATTTTTGAATTTTTATTAACTTTAGTTATATTTTATTATATATTATCATAATTTATTATTATTTCTTAGTTTTACATATATTTTTATATTAGTAAAGTAATATTTCTTTCAAGAATTCTCAAAACGCCTATATAATTTCGAATGGCACATCTAATTCAGAGCGTCGTAGCTCGAAACCCAAGATGTAAAGCTTCTTTGTGGTTCTAAATAACTATTTGCAGAAAGATTAGAGAAATATATTTTATTAAGAACTCAAAAATAATTGTTATAGTATAATTTTGAGTAATTTCGATTATTGTCTTACAGATAAGAATTTTCTTTGCAGATCACCTAAGGATAACAAAAATAATTATTTAGCCATTCTTTGTGTAAAATAGATGAATCACACATAAATATTTACAGTAGAGCGATCAACAATTGATCAAAACATTATAAAAAGGTTGCATTTTCCCTTAGCCTTGAAGAGAGAACAACTTGGACCATAGTTTAGAAACATTAAATTCTTATATTATTTTGTAATGTTTTTATAATTTTCTTTAATAAAATTCTTATTTTATCACATTTTTGTTCTCATATTTTTATTTCTTTTCTTTTGAAATTCATTTTTGTATATTGTTATCTTTTGATTCCAATATCAGAGCAGAGTTGAAAATTTGACTGAAATAATAATATTTAATTGTTTATATTAATTTATTTGATAATATTTGAAACATAATATATGTTAAATAAATTAAATCATTGAGGACTGAATATTATTTTTATCAGTGGTTTTGAAGTCTGTTAGGCAAGAGACTGAAAGTTTCAATATATTAAATTGTGAATTTTCATCTTTTTTTAATTTCTGTTAATATTTTTTTAAATCTTTTCTTTTTTTTTTTTTATTCTGTTTTTATTTTCTTGTATTCTATAAAATACATTGTTTATTGCAAGTCACATTTCTTATTTTGCTCTCCCAAGGCAGTAACAATATTATCTCACTTTGTAACATTTCTTCATGATCATCAGCATTATTATCAACATTATTTTAAAATGGAAGTTATATAGTTTTGAAAGGAAAATATATAATTATATATACAATTGTGATTAATTAGAGATTCAATTATTAATATTTTTGATTTTTAAACATAAATATTATTTAATAAGAATTTATATATTGCTTTAAAACAATTATAACATTGTTAAATGTTTTTTTTTTTTTTGGACTAAGTATGATATATGCGCAGCTTTTATTAATCAATTACAGATTACATAGTCATTATTGTTAAATGTTTTTTATTTTTTGACTTTTTCTTTAAATCTTTATTTTGTATTATTCAATATTATTAATCTCAAAATAAATTATTTTTCAATTAAAATTTTTGGTTTCTCATTATCAATAAATTTGTTCAAGACAAATGATTTTTTTTTAGTTTCTTTATCAGCCAATTGTTTTTTTATACTGTTTATTTGTAAAGATTTAGCCAAAAGCTTGATTTTTAAATAAGATAAGATTTTTTAAGAACTTACAATTACTATTGATAAATTAATCACAGGTAGAACAATTTTTTTTTATAATTGGAATATCATTTTTCTTCTTGTAATCTTTTTTCTTGACAGAAATCTTTTTGTATATCCATCTTATAGTTTCATTCACTTTTTTATTTTTTCTCAATATTGAATAAATTTATATCTTTCATGTTTTTAATCTTTTTGTTATTTTTAATAGACTTATCAAATTCTGTATTATCTGTACTATTCTTGTTAAAAGTTTATTTAATAAGCTTATAGTAAAAATAGATTCATAAATTAAAGACAATAATATAATTCAAATATCTCTTATTATTAAAAAAGTTTTTTTTTTATATAATAATAAAAAAAATCTATTTGTAAAGGTTTTTTACAATTTAGATCATTCAATTCAAATGTTTTTTGAATTATATTCCTATTAAAATAAAGAATAAATAATTATGTTCCTTTCAAAAGAATATAATTGTTCTGCAAAGTTTTATATATTAAATAGTTTCAGAATCTATTCTTACTCTTATGCAAATCTATAAAACTAATCCTTCTAGATAACTATAACCTTCTCAATATCTTCATGATATAATTATTTATCAATTGCTAAATTTAATCTTATACATTGTATTAAACTAGAAGCAGTCAAAAATATAATAATATTTAAGTAATTCTTGTCATTAATTGTTTGATTAAATATTAGAGAAATGTTGAAAAGGAATTGTATAATAAATATGATTATTTATCTTAAAGTTGATATATACAGAGAGGATTTATAGGATGAAAGGAATAATAAGATTTTTTTTTTTAAATAAGTTCAAAGGAATTTTTTAAATCATAGTTGTTCAGTTTTAACAATATTTGATCATCATTTTTTTTAAGTATTTGTCCTCTTGCACAATTAATATTTTATAGATATCAACTTGAATATCATTATATAATTAATCTTTTTCCTTTAATTTATCTTCATTT